AAATCTGGCATTATGAAAGTCAATGAGAGCCACTTTGGTTTGTCCTAAATTAAACTAGGGCGTAATAATTTTGTTCCCTCCTGAAATATGGGTGCATGCGATAGGGAGATTCATATGATAAACTCTCTAAAGGCCTTCCATCTTTAGCATGAAGATGGGTCCTTCAATAATGAGGAAACGCACCATAAAATTGGGCTATCCATTTGCTGTTGGATCTGTTAGAATGTTTCATAAGATGATAGGGGCATCATAGACCGATGTGGGAGGGGCCTATCCTAAAGTGGAAGACTCTCTTACGGTACCTTGGCATTTACGAATATGATGGGTGAGCACTCACTGGACTGAAAGATTTAACCTAAAATGGCAATGAACCTTGTCTGACAGAGGCCAAAGGGAAAGCTCATAGGATAAGTGGATATGATCCTTCACTGAAAGGTGGTGGGGTTATGCAGCTAAAACAGTTGTCTCCATGCACCCTATGTGATTTCCCACATTTCCAGAGACATAATTCGTAGTCTCCGTCACTGAGATAGGAGGAAAATCTCGGAGATGAATAAATGGAAATGGAACATAGATTAAAAGCCATATACACAACTTTATATAGAATTACAGAGCTAACTTACAGGGTGATAAAATAGGAAACAAACTTTTCCTAAAAAACTAATTTCTATATCAGTGGGATTCTCCAATTAATATCCCATGATTCTAGGAAACTAACTTATGTATGTTTCCTAAACTGATAGTCCTAAAATTATGGGGAATCAATCAGAGAGTCAATCTTCTACTTTCCAACAGTTTCAAATTGTTTGCAAAAGGTTTTAATTCCCGGGATCCATGTGAGTAGAGAGTGCAACACTGTACATTGCAGCCGAGGGAGAGGTCCTCTCTTGTTGGGCAGTGTTTGATCACTAAGGGCGGAGAGGTTAAGCGTAAGACCATTTAGGGATAATAAACTTGATGGGCTAATCTCACATAAGTCCATAGTCCTTGAGCCTTCATAAGGTGGCTGGACTCAGGGACCATCTAGTGTAGATGTTGGGCCCACTAAGAGCCCATATTGATGGGTTCAAGGGTTTATTCAGCCAGGCCTTGTAACAGAGGCTAGGCTGAACCCATATGGCTTTTGTGGAGATCAATGCTAGGGTCCCACGCCATACAAAGAGAACCAAGTTAGCCAGCAGTTAAAGGAAGTGAGTATGAAAGCTTAATGAACCTTAAAAGCCCACATCGAATTAGGTATTTAATTAGATTAAATAAGAAGGAGGCGAATTGGGTTTATAATCAGAATAGGACTAGTTGATGGATAAGATAAATCTTATCCATTTAAGAGTCCAAATTCAAATACAGATTTGAATCAAAGGAATTCTTTCCTAATTAGATTAGGAAGCTGATCCAAAAGAAGATTATAAATAGGCAGGCGAATTCTCTTCAGTAGTGAGCATTCTCTTTCTGCTTTTCTCCCTCTGTTCTTGCCGCCACATACCCTATTCAATCTCCATCTTGGACTGACCAAGATTTGATCTTGATATTATTTCTTGCTAGAAGAAATAATCTTCAATCCGTGCTCACATCCTTGGCGTGATTCTTGCTGAAGAATTGGGGTTCTTGTTGAAGAACCTCCCTGTTGATCCTGCCTCATCCTAAGTTGTGTCACCTTCAGTGGAAGACGGACTTGGCGCTCTCTTTGGGCGTGAACACCTACATTGGGAGGAACATTTGCGTGGATTCCGTATCGAGTACCTCTCTCCCTAATCTTTGGTTCAGATCTGGTCCATTTTGTCTCAAGAACGATCCTTAAAAAATGCAGTTTTTCTAAAACTGGGAATAGGATTCCCGGAAGGGAGAAAAAAAATTTTAAATTTCGCCCAGCCTTCCTGCATGGTTCGGCCATCCATATGATGGATCTCCCTTCCCTTCAGATTAGACAAAATTTTATGTTCTTCCCTTACTTATTGGTTCAAATTTTGAAGTCATCAAGGGTTCAATACAGCAGTTAGCATTGTTTGTGTTGATTAAACCCTAACAAATAAGAAAATAATAAAAAGATATTAGTTTATAAACACAAAAAATGAATATTTTTCTTTAATAATGTCTATTTTATAATTATAATCTCAAAAAATAACAATATAAAAGTATTTATTACACAATATGCAAAACTGCTTTGCGGTTGGGCGATGCGAGCCTCCAAGGGCACATTGTCGCCTTGACAACCTATAGTGGTGAAGTCCATCATTTCCCCCCCCCCACCACATCCATTACAACTTTTCTATCGTTCAATGGGATTAGTATGACAGTTCGATGAATCCCAAGTTTCGACGTCACCTCCTCTAATAATCCTTTCCAGTCTTTTACCTCTTTCTTCACAGAAAGGATTAATCTCTGCTCCCAAATTCTTTTTCCCCAACCAGTGAAATCTTTGGTTCTGATGTTGTGAGAGACACCGCCACTGAATCTTGATTTTCATCAGTTTCTTCTAAACCTAGCTTTCCGATTTCTTCCCTTTTTCCGTCGTTCCTCCTTTCCCAATTCTCCAACCACTTTTTTTCTTGTATCTTTACCACCTCAGTCTCTATCTTAACAAGTCTCTGGTGTAGCTCGTTTGTAATCATGGTCCAACCTTGTAGCTTGTTGCCTTCAGGTATGATGATCATTTGTTTTTTCCCTTTTTCGAATTTTTCTCCCAATGTAACAAACCAGTCGTGGGAGTTTTTCTTCTCTCAGCAAGGTATTCCCTCCTTAACTGACTAAAGGTGTTATTCCATGTCTTGCACCAGCTTACTTGCACTGCTCCATCCAGGAAGCTCTGAAACCAGGACACAGCTTCACCCACTGGCAATGTCGTTCCTCTCCTTCCTTCTCTTATCTTTATCGTAAACTCCTTCTGGTAGACAATCTCTTTGTAGAGAAGATGGGCCGAATAGCCCATAGACTGTCATTTCATGTTATGTTATGTTTCTCCCTGTTGTGGGCCTTATTCTGGGCCCATACTCTGTAATATTCTGTTTTTTTGTATTTTCCTGCTCACTCAAGGGCCTCTCTGTAATTTGTCAAAGATTAACTTATTAATAAGATGTTAAGAGTGTTAGAGAGGGGTTATGTTCGAACCTCTTACTCTCTAACACTCATTGCCGCCAGCTCTCTCTTCTCTTCCTCTCTTGTTTGTTCATTTTCTGGTTTGCATCTAATCTCAAACAGTTCCATACATCAAGTGTGCTGTTTTTCAACTCTCTTCCAATAGGAGTTCTTTCCTTTCTGCTATAAAGACTCTTCACTTCCTGGCTGCTTAGAAGCCTTCATTCTCCATTCTTTATCATCAACTTTGTTATTATGTCAATCACCTTAATAGTCTTTTTTTTTAACAGGTAAACTAATAGAGTCTCCAAATAAATAAGATGATACTCTAGCAAAACAAGAGGTATATGTGCAACAATTGTTTTGGGCGTAATTGTAACATATGTAACTTGTAGGGTTTGATCTGACATGTTGTAATATCAAGATTTAGTTCATCTTAATAAAATTTTCAGTTCTTATTGCTGATAAAAAAAATGATTTGTATTAATTACAAAGTTTCATAACATCAAGGCCCCATGAACACCCAGCATATGTATACTGCTATAGAAGAATCTATTAGCAAGATATCCAGTGGTTCTTACCAAGCACCTCCTAATTCACTGTTTTGAGATGAGAAAAATCTGGAATCACTTCCTGCACCTTGGTGTTACATCTGGGCAGCCCCTGAACATGTATTTGAGCGTCTTAGGCAATGACACTGTAGGGGTTTGGGAAAAAGAGGGAAAGCCTATTGGAGCACACTGACTCATGCAGTGATGTGAAGAATATGGGAAGAAAGAAACAAACAAACTTTTGAGAACAAGTAAGAACCACTGAAGAACTTATTTCCTACAAAACATTTTTATGCAACATTTGGGTGGCTAGCTCTAAGGTTTTCAAAGGTTTCTCTCTATCGGACTTATAGAGGAATTTGTGGAAAGCTTACACTCCTCTCCCTTGACTCTAGCGGTCTAGCCTCTGTTCAGGATCCCCCTGGTTGGGAAGGAGATGGGAACAAGATTAAACTTTGATGGAAGTGCTGTAGGCAATCCGGGGGAGGCTGGGCTTGGAGATTTGATCAGGGAAGAAGATGGAAATATTTTCTGGGCATTTAGTGGCCCAACAGGGATTGCAGACTACAGAAGCTATGATTTTGGCTGCTTTAATAGGTATCTGAATTGTAAATAATCTGGGGCTATCTCTCCTAATCATCGAAGGAGACTCTGCAAACAGCCAAACACCATAAAATGGTTATGGGAAGAAAATGGCCCTTGGAGACTGCTACACCATCTAGACGAGACTAGAGACATTATGGCCAGAGGAATGTCAAGATTAGATGGATAGATACCTAGGGAACTTAATTCTTTGGCTGATGATTTGCGGGGTCCATAGGAACTTTCTGTTTACTGATTGGTTTCTGCCCTTGTAGCCTTTTCGGAGAGTCATTGTTTACAGTTGTACATCCTCTCATGTACCTTGTTTCCTATCTCTTTTTATTGAAATTCATCACTTCAAAAAAAAAACTGCTGTATTGTAAACTATTAGTTGGGACAAGGCTTAGAAGATGATGATAATGATTATAAACTTTTAAAATCCCTATGTATTTATATGGGCCTATGCTTGTAGCCCATTCTTCAGGTTTAAGCACAAAACCTTTTATGATCATTGGGAGGAAATTGTATGGAATGAATTTCACTGTGTTACTGTGGTTTGTAGTCTGCAGCTGTGCTGCTGTTGTTCCTTGTTGGGTTTGAAGTTTGAACCTCTCCTCCCTTTCTCATATGTTCTTCTTTCATTAATAAAATTTACCTTTTAAAAAAGAAGAAAACAGCAACTAAAAATAACCAATAATTGCACTTCTTTTGCAACTATCAACAACATCCAGAAAACTATGGCTGGTGAAAATGGAATAAGATTATGTATGAAGAAAATGGAGGAGATATACACACTTCAGCTTGTGAAAGTATAGATCTCGTTCCTCGAGCATTGAAGGTGACAGCCTCCAATCATAAGGTACAGCAATGATTGCATTTGCTTCAATTCCAAATTCAATACACCATTTAACCCATTCTTTCCACACTGAAGAAAGAGGACCTGGAGCATGCATTTTTTAGGTGAAAAGCTCATTAAGCTAGAAGCAGCTCTACCAAAAAAAAATAGAAAATATCCCAAATGGATATTCAGGATTTATATCATAACAAGAGAACAAAATAGTGGTCATTCAATTCCAGTCCATAAGCTAGAGTGGTAGAGATCAGTTGTTATATTGGAGAATTTAAATTGATATTTGGTTTCTAGTCCTTAGTGAAGATACCCAGCTGCTAAACCTCTATTGCCTGACTAGTCTATATCGTGTTTGAGATGGACATTCTTCTATCCAGTTTATTGAGATTATGTATGGATGTGATTGTAAGTAGCAATGCAATGCATGGTTCTTGTCCGCAGAAGATAAGTTGGACTTTGACATCTATACCATGAGAGCATCCGAAGCAGCAATAATGCAGTTAAGTAATAGCAATAAAACAAACTTCTAATCTATACCAATAACTATCACCATGCAAAAACAATATATTATAAACAGAGAAGCCCTCATTGATAATTAATGCTTGGATCAAACGTAAAGTTCAATCAATAACCATAGTTATCCAGTCAGTGTTTCAAAAGCGCAAGGTGCAAAAAAGGCGCAGGGGTCAATTTGTGCCCAAGGTGCAAGGCAAGGCACGCACCTTTTTGAAGCAAGATGCAAAAAATTAAAAAAAAAATGCTAAATAATCAAAAAATATTAAACATAATAATAATAATAAATATAAACTTAAATTTTAAAATAAATGTTTTAAAAAACTTATTATCTAAAATTAAAATTCATAAGCATAACATGTAAAGCATATTCAAATGAGAATTTAAAAATAAAATCAAACATATAAAACATTTTCAAGCATGTAAAACCCACAATCTCTTTTTTTCTCAATTCCATTACTTCAAGTAGCTAATGTGAATAAAACATATTACATTCCTAATTCTACGAGCCGCCTTTGTTCCACGCCCCTCGAGGCAAGCCCAAACAAGTCCATGTTAGGGTCTTAAATTCTTAGTTCTCACACAAAAAATAATGATTTTATAATTTTAATTGTTTTTTAAGAAGATATTTTATTAGGATGAATGAATCAACAACATTACCATATAGGGGGTTCTTGGAACCCTGGGATGAGGCACAAGGCACATCAGATGTGCACCTTTTGAAAGGGCTGCGCCTAGGACCTGGACGAGGTGCCTACCTTAAAATGCGCTTCACCTGTGCGCCTCAACCAACTTTTGACATATTAGAATATCTATAGAAAGAAATTTCAGCTATCTACTAGGTATAATTTTCTATTTTAGGAGCTTTTTAATGATCCATTAATTACTAAAATTTCTAGCACAGCAACTGGTGTCTTGTGCTACTAATATTGTAAAAAGTGTATAGCTAACTCCACTGAGGGCATTCCTTTAAGAGCCTGACCAAAATTTTTCTTATAGGTAATGATCAATAGTCTTGCTGCATTTGTTGGGGTCAATTGGGATTTGGGTTTCCGAAGGGCTATCAGAGATTCAGAGATTCAGAGATTCAGAGTGTACTTATTGCATTTGTTGGAGGGAGTATTCCTTAAGTCATCTTTACTTGATAGCCGAATTTGGACTTGTACTTCCTGGTTCCTTCTCTTGTGCTTCTTTCTTCAAAAGTTTGTTACAGCCCTCCTCCAGTCCTCTGCCTTCTTTTGCTATGAAAGAGGTGTGGTGGAAACCTATTCCACCAATGGTTGCTGTTTTCTATTGAGAAATTGTACATGGAAAGATTAACATCCTTGATTTACTTCAAAGAAACCGGCCAAGTTGGTGTTTATCCCCTCACTGGTGTGAGTTATGTAAGACTGATGGTAAGAGTTGCTAACACCTACTTATTTCATGTTCTTTTATTACCTTTGTTTGGGAATGGTGCTTTTCTTTGTTTGTGTGCAGGTGGGGTCCTCCTGTGAATGTACAAAGCATGTTTTGATGCAACTACTTTCTCATGGCCAAAGAAGAGGGGGAGATTAATGTTGAGATGCATTAGAGCTGCTACTCGTTGGACAATTTGGGAGGAACGGAACTCAAGGATTTTCCTGGACAAAGAATGTAAAGAGATTGGGCCAAATGGGCCATGATTTAGTTCAGCTGTTTATTGTTTTACTTCTGCTGTAATGGGCTGTCCTTATGGGCCCTTAACACATTAGTTATAATGTTTATTGGGTCAGCTGCCTAACCAGGGGCATCCATGCAATTTCTCCTTTAAATTAATCTAGCACGTATATAAAGAGACCAAGGGAGTGAAAGAGGGACGTTTTTCTCTTCTCTTCTCTTCTCTTCCTCTTTTCTTCCAACTTCTTCTTTCTCTTGAACAGCTCTTTCTCTCTTCTTCCTTCTTATTTTTTCTTGTCATACAAGTAGGAAATTCTTGGACTGGTTTTCTTCTAATAAAGAAGTAAAGAAGAAGTAATTTGAGAAATTAAGATAATAAGCGGTGCATTGGTTGATATCCTCAGAAGGTTTCTTATATGTTTCAGCAACTGATTTACTAAGGAACTGGAAGGCAGTGGCAGATTCATCTGTTCATAAGACCATTAGTCACCATTGGACCTCACTGGATAGAGGATATACTAAACTCAATTTTGATATTAGTAGCTTGTGAAATCCAGGACCTTTTGACATTGGAGGTAATATTTAGAGATGAAAGTGGTGCATTGGTTGAAGTTCTTGGAAGGTTTCTCATATGTTTCAGCAACTGATTTACCAAGGAACTGGAAAGGCAGTGGCAGATTCATCTGTTCATAAGACTATCATTAGTCATCATTGGATCTCACAGGATAGAGGATTTATTAAACTCAAATTTGATATTAGTAGCTTGTGAAATATAGGACCTTCTGGCATTGGAGGTATATTTAGAGATGAGGAGGGCAAGATCATTGCCCCATATTCTGAGCCAGCTTGACTAGGGGTGGCCACGAGCCGAGCTTCTCACAAGCAATTCGAGCTCAGCTCGTGAAAAGTTTGGTTCGGCTTGGTTTAAACCGAGCTTCGAGTGGAGCTCGAGCCTGATATATAGGCTCATTTGCTAATCGAGTCGAGCTCGAGCCTAGTGAAGCTCGACTTGTGAGGCTCGCAAGCCCAAGGTTCAAAATATTGATACGCCCGATACGCCGGTATAGGYGTATCGAGCGAATCAATAATCATTTTGGTGTTTTTTTTTCGCCAACTAGTTCAGGGGAGTCGGTTTAGGTCTTCGTCACACCCTGAACCGGTCAAACCACCAATACACCCACTGTAGGGGCATATCGGTGGGGTGTCGAAACGATACGTATCGGCCGATACGAGCCGATACGTGTCGATACTTTGAACCTTGCGCGAGCCTAGTATAATAAATAAATATTTTTTTATTATATACATACATACATATGCATACACATTATAATTCTTAATTTTTTTAATGTAACACAAAAAAAAATATCTTTATATATATACTTTTATTTTTTAGAAAAAAAACTTGGCTTGCAGCCGAGCTTGAGCTCAAATCTCTAGCTCGAATCGAGCTCGAGCCTGACACAGTTTCAGTGAGCCAAGCTTGAATAACAAAGTAGCACAATCTTTGAGGGTAAGAGATAAAGTAAGGCTGGAGTGGAAACCACCAGAAGGCAATAAAGTAAAGCTGAATTTTGATGGATGCTCCTATGGAAATCCAGGCATCTCAGGAATAGGAGGAGTATTAAGAAACTCTGACACAGGAGGATATTGGGTATGTTCTCAGGACCGATTGGCAACGGAAACTTGCTGAAAGCTGAACTATTGGCATTACTACAAGGGTTAAAGCTAGCCAAACAACTAGGATGCAGACATGTTGAAGTAAAAGGGGACTCAAAGGTAGTAATTTCATGGGCAACAAACATGGACGTTTAAACATGTGATTAGGGAAGTGGAGAAGATTGCAAAGGAGGTTGAGGCTGAATTTAAATGGGTCTGAAGAAGTGCAAATGGACTAGCCGATGGATTAGCAAAACAAGGGGCATTGAGACAGCAATTATTTTGGGATACACTATAATGAGGGGTGAATAGAGTGATTAAAGGGGATCAACAGTCCCATCATCAAGTTGTATAAACTGCTTACAATCTGAACTTTAATAAAATACATATTTACTAATAAAAAAAAAGCTTGAATAGCAAAGCATTCGGCTTGGCTCAGCTCGAATCCACCCCTAATAATGACTGCGATGGAAGGCATACAAAGGACGAGAACAATGAGCATCAGCAAGCTAATCGTCGAGGGAGACTCAAAATTGGTGATCAACTGGTTACAAGACAAGGGGATGAAAATGTGGATGTATAATAATGATAGGAAAAAAGTCAAGTGGATGTACAATAATGATAGGAAGAAAGTCAGTGTGCTCCACTCTCTTTACTTCTCTCTTCTTCTCTACTGCTGAAACCTTTCAGCTTCTTCTACTTTTCTTCACAAGGCACATCTGAAACAGTTATCAGCAATTTCTACTTGGTATCAAAGCAGGCCGAAGGTTTCTTGAGCTGCTTTATCATGCAGCCCTAGATTGGCCGACTGCATGGTGAAATGAGAGGCTGATCGAAGATCTCAGGTAAGCCCAGTTTTTGGATTTTTTGGTGGAGATTCCTATTTTTGTAGGACTCTTCAAGTATTTGGGTGATAAAAATACCCTTAAAATAAAAGAATGGAAGATGATAAAAATACCCTTAGTAGGGCGGCTACTTTAAGTAGCTGTACAGTCACAACTTAAAATAACATAAACTAATGGGCCTAAGGCCCAATAACTTCCTAGCTTAACAACTTAAAAATAAAAATAAAAGGCCAGGCCCAATAACTCAGAATCAGCCCAACTCAACATAAATTACTCATGAATCACAGTGAGTGGATCCAAGAAAGGTGACTGGTTAGATTGCTAGAATTAGGCCATGTTTGGGAGTGCTTAAAAATAAGTGCTTATTTGGTCCAGGACCACGCCATTAAGCACTTATTGATATTTGGAAAATAAGCCCAAAATAAGTGCTTATTTAAA